CGAAATATAAAAGTTTTAAATATTAAAGGGCTCTGCGTGGTGGATTACCTATATTTCGCCGTTTTTTGATTAACCTAAGGTCAGATGGTCAAAATCGCGGTTCTCAGGAAAACGCTTATAGTTCCTGAATAGCACAAGCTAGAGAGCTCGGCCTTGCATTGGTCGAAAGCGAACAAAAGTCGGTGTGAAGCCGCTGGATATTTCAGCAAAGCATAAAGTTATATTGTCTCTTGCCAACAATGAGGATCGCACGTCGCTAGCTTCTGTGTGACCTGCACTAATATCTTCCAGTTGTTTGGGCGTTTACCTGAGAACCCCGATTTTGGAAAGCTGACCTAAGGTTAATCAAAAAACGGCGAAATATAGGTAATCGTCCACGCTGAGTCCACTAGTGATGTTTATTTTCAGCTTTGAAGCGGTCTGAATCATTAAAATGAAGATATTTAGAATTTTAATATTTCGACTTTATGTAACGCTGAGCATATTCCAGAAATTTTCAATTTAATGATTCATTGTTCTAATTCACTAGAATAACTCACGCTTACATCATCTACGACACTTAAAATCGATTCATTCTGCACTAATATCTTCCACTTATTTTCGTAATATTTTGATCTATCACTGATAACTTTGGTGTCAAAATTTTTACCCGCAAAACTTCAGATGTCTCGGATGTCGATCTTCACAGTTTTTCGGTTATTCATGATAACTGATTAGTCAGGAGCGGTGAGATAACATTTTTTATAGTAAGCGAAAACTCTTTTCAACATAATTGTCAAGATATAAATTATTAGATATTTATTTAAGTTAATTTAATTGAATTTCAGTAATAAAAATTTTTAACAAGTCTAAGAAAAAAATAAAAAGTTCTTTCACACATCGATCATTCTTCTTCATTGATAACTCCATATTTGTATGTTGCCACTTTGTCAGCTTCTACATCAAATGTGGCCATGACTTGTTGTTTATTGTCAGGATTCAAAAAGAACAAACTACTGCTATTGCTATGGCTATGGCTATGGCTATGGCCGATGGTCGCATTAAATTTCTTCATTGTTGGAAATTGTTGTTTATATCCAATTGATACTACACGATGTTTATGATTGTTTATTTTTAAATGAATTTCATAGGTTAACCGAGTAATTGTCACATTTCTCGATGTATCATTGAATTTAATTGTTGATAATAAATGAATTTGTTCATTATATGTTATATCAGCATCTTGACCAATTGAAAATGTATATTTTTCATTTGCTGCCAAATTGGGAAATGCAGTTTCTCCAACAAGATAACCATCTTCACGAAGTATAACTTGACCTTTTGGTAAATATTCCTTTGATAACAAACAATAGGAACGTTGTACTTTATCATTCGTTGTTAAAGAATATTTATTAAACACTTTATCAATTAAACCAAAACGTCTGACATACACAGTTGGTTCGAACATGGGCAACAAATAATTCGTTTTTGGTTCAATTTCAAATGGTTTATTGATTGTAAATTTATATATGCCAGCCAATTCGGTTCCTGAGAATATACAAAAAACAAAATATGCTTATTTATTAGTATAGTTAAGCCATCATCTTATAAAATAGCACATGTTTTCTAAGTGTTATCAGTAAGACCAAATTTCATAAAAAGTAGAGCTGGACACATTGGAGTTATTAAGAAACGTTTATTTTTGGACCTAATCTTTAGTCTGCTCTCTGGTTCAGCACCCCTTTTTTTTTCACTTACCGCTACTTTCTATCGATGGTAGCGATGCTTCCTGATGGTACTGTGCGTTAAATAAGTTTTGCTGCCCCGGCATTTTAGTGGTGAATCGATTTTGTGTATAGATTCGTTGTTGGTTCATTTGTATATTAATATCACCACTAAATAATTCCCCGTGATCAATTTTAATTGTGTTTAATCCATCATTTCGAATATCAGCATAGTTCAATAATACTGAATTGTTTGTCAATGTTGATAATAAGAGTTGATAACGAACTCTCCAATTTAATTTTGAATACAAATAGCTAACATATAATTGTGGTTGTTCTTGGCTATCACCCAATGATATAGATTTACGATAGGTGAATGAAACCAAATATTTACTTGTTGGTGGTAAACTTGTTTGAAGGATTTCTTGTCTCTTGGTATTAATCGTATAATATAACGATTGACCTTTATTTGATGTTCGATCTTCAATAAGATGTTTTGTTTCATCAATCATTGTTACTTCCATAATTGGAGCACTTTTATTAACATTATCACGTATGAATATTTTTTCACCATTTAATGATCGTTTCTGTTCGGTCACAGTTTGCGATGTGACTGTAATGTTTGCAGTTGGACAAATTAAGATTATTGTATCAGAACGAATATTTTCCCATTCTTTTTCAGAAAATTCAATTGTTGGTCGACTGTTGTCATCGAGTTTTTCTACGATTTCAGCAAAATTTGAATAAATATTAACAATAGCTGTTGTTGTTCGATCAGAACCACATTGTATTAGACCATTTAATTGAAGAAATAAAACTAATGTTGTTGTGATTAATATAAACAGATTCATATTGACTAGTTGGAATCCAAAAACTCTGAAAATAAATACAGTACTAGATTTAGTTGGTCCATAGCTCGTATTACAATAGCATTGTGGTCAGGATAAAGAGTCACCGAGGCGTAAAATTTATTCAGATAAAAATGGCTACTAAGACAGACTAAACGGACATTTCGCAACACTTTCCGATACAACTTCTGCACATAAGTCTTTCTTAGTAGAATCGTGGAAAACATTGTACAAAAATAGGTGATTGATATTAACCACCGCGTCCTTTTCTGGGCGATTTGAATGAAACTTATATCTTAAGATTCATCCAACTTCCTCATTTAATCGTCAGAGACGTTAAAAAAGCAGTTCTTAACTGTTCTAAAACGTTTTCGTGCTAAGAACTGCCTCACATTACTGGTTACTTTGATTTTCAAAAATAGCTTAACGTACTTGATTAATTTCTTTCTTGATGTATGTGAAGAAGTGCACACCACAATAAATATACTGAATGTGAAGATTTGAATACATTTTCTTGATATATATATATATATACAGGATTCTTTGTTCGCTTTCTTGTATATATTCATTATTAGATCGACAACGGACGATGCTTGTTTCTACTAGTTTATTTTCTTCACTAACATGCAGTCGATTACGTCTATTGTTTTTATCTAGTCGATCTTTTTACACAGATCAACTGGACGTGTCAATCCTATCAGAACCTGTTATCACTAAAAATAAAGGCTTTTATTCATAGTCGTATCAAACAAGGAATATTTCTATCCTTTCACGTCTTGGCAACTGCTAGCAGGTGGCAGTAAAGAGTATTCTGCATTTTCGCTGTCATTTCTGCACGAGATTAGTCGTGCCACATAATCGGGTTAATTCTGTTTTAGAGAAAGATCATTTTCTTTGTAATGATCCCGTCTTTCGGCTTTTAAGAACAAATGCATTGGACGAAGGTTCTGCAACGATCAAAGCGAATTTTATTTTATCTTGTTTATTTTATGATCTGTTGCAGTTACTGCCCAAGATCAAATCTTATATAGAATTTCTTTCTATAGGAATCTGACAGACTATTTTCAACAATCTTATTTGACTACAAATTTAAGCATTTTTCCCTGTCATTCCTGCACGAGATTAGTCATGCTACATGGTTGAATTTATTTTCTTTTAGAGAAACATCATTTTCTTTGTAATGTATGATAGAAAAAGTAAGATATCCATTGTTTGTTGCATTGTCAGCTGAACTACTGTTTTCTATGTTACTATTTAGAAAATTAGAAGAAATAGAGGACAGCAGTGAGAGAAATATTCCAGCGACTAACCACTAGATTGGCTGAATTAGCTTTTCACTCCCACTCTTAAGACTATTTGGCCATGTGTTTTTCTCTATACAAATATACGTTGAAACAGAAACAAAGAACACGTGCCTCTATCGTCTAGTGTAGATATAAACAGCTCTTCTCCCTTCTCTTTTAACATATATCTCTATGATCTACTAGAAACCTTCCACAAAATATTTTTGATAAAATCGATAAGAACCTTAATCGATATGAGCCTTATCGAAATCTTATGAGTTTCTTATAAACATTCTTTGAGTTTTTACGTTTCTTATAAAACTAAGTATATTTAATATAACTGAAAAATATTTTTGTAAAAGATTTCTGTTTATACTCGGAACAAATTTCTTTGATTCACTGCCTAGATAGAGCTGTCAAAAGGTTGCTTTATGCAAATGTCTGGTTATCCGAGCAATTAGAATATGCTCACAAAAGAGTTTATTAGATAATGAAATTTCCTGGCTTAAAGCCATTCTTAGTGTGAACGGTTATCCAGCTAAACTGGTGAAACGAATTATTGATAACACTACTGAAAGCTATTGCAATAGACACATCACTACTTCTACTCAACCACTGGTCAATCCTAATAATAAGATAATATAAGGTGAATATTTCCCTTTATTATCTAGGCAGTGAATCAAAGATCATAGAAAAGTTGGAGTTGTTTATTGTATAGAATGCAAAGATTGTGCTAATATTTACGTCGGAGAAACACATAGTGAAGTAGGCATTAGAATGAACCAGCATAAGAAGAAAATAGAAAATGATGATTTGTTTTCAAAAATATCTGTACATGTCACTGAAAACAATCACACTGTAAATCTAGACGAAGCCTGTATACTGGCATATGAAAAAAATGAAATTAAAACACAAATAAAAGAGACACTACTGACGCACGAACAAAAACAGCTAGCCTACAATGATATTCGATTAGACAGTCTAGAAAATAACAGTCCAGCATAGAAAATGTAACAGTCAATGTTTAAGCTTTTCTAGTATTTTCGATCTCCTATGTTTCAACTAGTATATTATATATATAATCCTCTCTCTTCTAAATTCACAGTCATATAGCCTGCTGATGATAGTGTGCAGTATCGAAAGCTCGCTTTTTATGTAAAATACTTTTACAAAAATGTTTTTCAGTTATATTAAATATACTTAGTTTTATAAGAAACGTAAAAAGCCAAAGAATGTCTATAAGAAACTGATAAGATTTCGATAAGGTTGTTATCGATTTTATGAAAAATATTTTGTGGAAGGTTTCCAGTAGATCATAGAGATATATGTTAAAAGAGAAGGGAGAAGAGCTGTTTATATCTACACTAGACGATAGAGGCACGTGTTCTTTGTTTCTGTTTCAACGTATATTTGTATAGAGAAAAACACATGGCCAAATAGTCTTAAGAGGGGGAGTGAAAAGCTAATTCAGCCAATCTAGTGGTTAGTCGGTGGAATATTTCTCTCACTGTTGTCTTCTATTTCTTCTAATTTTCTAAATAGTAACATAGAAAATCAGTAGTTCAGCTGACAATGCAACAAACAATGGATATCTTACTTTTTCTATCATACATTACAAAGAAAATGATCTTTCTCTAAAACAGAATTAACCCGATTATGTGGCATGACTAATCGCGTGCAGGAATGACAGCGAAAAAAGCTTAAATTTGTAGTCAAATTAGATTACGACATTCATAAAATTTCTGTAAGATTGTTGAAAATAGTCTGTCAGATTCCTATAGAAATCCTATATAAGATTTGATCTTGGGCAGTAACTCCAACAGATCATAAAATAAAGAAACCAAAATAAAATTCGCTTTGATCGTTGCAGAACCTTCGTCCAATGCATTTGTTCTTAAAAGCCGAAAGATGAGCATTACATTGCCGAAAGAGGGAATCATTGTAAAGAAAATGATCTTTCTCTAAAACAGAATTAACCCGATTATGTGGCATGACTAATCGCGTGCAGGAATGACAGCGGAAAATGTTTAAATTGGTAGTCAAGTTAGATAGCTACTCAGTTCTGTGTAAAATTTTATAGATGTTTCAGGCAGCAGACATTAGAAAAGTCGTACCACGTGTCGATATTGTGTAAGTAGCAGAGTGCCCATATGTTCTGATATGACCAAGAAGTGACCCACAGAAGAGTCCGCTTTGTGCTTATCGAATGTTCTCATCACATGTTCTGATTTCAGTGTTTGAAGGTGATTAGTGAACCTCCGAACCCAGCGGATCAACATCTTTCTCAATCCGTCCCTTAGTCTCTAACAGATGATAATACTGTTTCGTCAAATAATATTTCATAAAAATTGCTTTTTTGAAAAAGTTATTGGACCTTTTGTTTTGCTTGTCCAAGAAAAAGCCGCCTAATACTCTTCTGTTTCTCTGCTGATTTCGAAATCTTATGAATTCTTATAAAATAATTATATACGTCATCTTACCGAATTCTTATCGAAATCTTACAAAAGAGTATTTCCCTTGGTAGTATACCACACTTTATATGAAGCTGTCTTGCCAAAGTGAAGACATACCTCATTCGATAGAGAAGTCAATTCTGAACAAGAATGTCATATTTAAAAAATCTTTTCACGTTGACGCGGGATCTAAAAATCGGTCGAGAAATGGCGGTTTTACGCATTTCATCATGTTTTTGAAAGCAGAGTTTTTCAAAAAATATTAAAGCTAAAGAGATGGAACTTTCAGGATATAATCTAGAGACTACGAGGAACAAAAAACTGTCGTGGACTAAAATTCAAGAGTGCTTGGGTATTGTACCACGCTCATCGTAAAATTGTATAAAAATGCAAAAACAAGGTCATTTTGAAATGAAGTTTATTCGAAGAAAATAGAAATCCGATTTAGGGAAGATATCCGAGGAAGTTGCTATCATTTGCAAGTTGTCAAAACATTTATTCCACAAGAACGAATTTGAATTTATAGGTGAAAAAAAGAAAATAATAGTTAAGGTGCACGTAATTCAAAGATTAAGCATATTTTTATTTTTCAAAACGTTACACATATTTGGATTTGCCTTCTCAAGCTGATCACGAATATTAGCTTCTGAACATCCACTGTCAAGAAGCCGATTTTTAGGAAACCACATATGCGGAGGCTAAAATCTCCATACCCTTACTTCAAAAAACCTATCTAGTCTTTCAGTTCGAGAGCCAGAGCCTTGGTTCTTACGTCACTTGAAGCGCCTTCACTCGTAGATTAACTCCGAGCATCGGTTTTAGAAACTTCCTTTTCCTTTTTTTAGATACTTGAACTTTTTTGAAAGGTGTTGGGTTTCCAGTAGTATCGGCCTAGTGATTTGAGGTTATAAGGGAGAGATTTCACACGAGAAGGCTGAAATTTTCTGTATATATATCTATCGCAGCAGACTTTCAGGATTTTCAGAGGTTCTTCAGAAGGTTTTCTTGAAAACCGGATCTCTATGAACAAGAACAAAATAGGAGAGCCATCCAAGCGCAAAATTTATTCCGCGAGTCACACTGCCATATACACCACACACCTCACACTTATTTTTTCTTGACTTCTTGTGCTTTAAGTATCCTATGTTCTACTAATCTGGGATTCTGGTCTTCTCACAACATAAAACATAAATTCTCAGGAACTCAGAAGATCAGAAAACCACAACATTGTAATGCTAATATTTCATGAAAATATATTTTATCTTCG